GAGCTCAGGATACAAGTGAGGCAATTTCTAGCCAGAGGCAACGAAGCGCCTGTAAATCTCCGGCAGCTCGTAAACCTGCAGGGCTGCCCTGGGTGTGGTTTCAGCTCAAAGCTAGGAGGCTTTGAAAACCAAACTTCACAGCTAGATGAACACTGCTTATGATGACAACATAAAACACACAATGCGAGTGCTTTTCAGCAAGGCTCTGCCACGGTGCACGGTCCACCCGATTGGCTGTCACAGTCATATATGTGAAATCCCTTCATTAATAAGACCTCTTACCTCAAGAGTAGAATCCTGTACAAAGCAAAATATTTGGTAATTAAACTCTGGAAAAGGACTGCTTAATGGATGAAAAAAATATAATTATACCAACATAATGACAGGGTGAACCTCACAAGGTTAAGTAGCACGGAACTGAGTCCTTTCTGGAGATAACTCATAGGTCTCCGGAGAAGACACTCATTTACAAAATCCTTACACCACGTTTCTGCCACAGAGCTGTCGACATACAGGATGGAGACTGTCCTACGTGGGGAGGCGACCAGCTGGGCACTCTCTCCTCACCCCCTGGAAACATGGTGATTTTTGAGGTCCCAGTCTGCTGGCTAGTTTTCTCATCAGATTCAGGAGGAAGGAGAGGGACACTCCCGGAATCGTGAGTGCTAAACAGGCGCAGTGAACAACCAGCTCAACCGGGCCCGCGGGAGCGAGCATGGTGCTGCGCTGCTCGCTGGCATGATGCCCCACGAGCCCTCCGCAGTGCGGGAGCAGCCGGCAGGAGCGAAGGCCGACGCCCACGGGCGCGCTGGGCCGTTTCCGCACACGCTCATAACCACCTAACTGCAGTCCTTCCAAAGCGCAGACTTAGAAACACACCTGGATCCAGCTGTCTGGGAGCCCTTCGGAGTCCATTGGTTCGTTTCTGCACAGAGAGGTAAAACAAAGCAGAACAGAGACGTTTCAGTTATTCACCATTATGAAATCACATGAGCGCTCAGGCTGCGGCAGGACAACAGCGCTGTGCTCTTTTCCAGTTAAAAGCATCACTACGTTTGAGCAAAATATGGTTTTTAAAGCAGCTTTTGTAACATTTTAACAAAAGTCTTCCACCTAAACACCACTGTATTTCATGAACTGCCACTATAACACTAAGAAAAAGAAGTACTTTGGTTCCCTGCCTCCAGATACTGAATCCAGGCTTTTTCTTTTTTGGGGGGGGGGAAGGGCTCATTTGTGTTTTGTTTTGTTTCCAGAACCAGGAATTGAACACAGGCCCTTGTGCTTGCTAGGGAAGTGCTTATTCCACTGAGCCATCTCCCCGGCCCTCGTTTGTTTTTAAGTCAGAGTCACTACAAAAAACACCGGCAGCCATTCTTGGCGGGAAAACACTCCCAGCAGAAACAGCAACAACAGCCTTCAACTGACCTGATAAACCTCTAACTCAGCTCTGGGGCCTAACGATGGGAGACACGGAAGGGAAACAATCTTAAAACAAAGATCTGAAGCTCTGATGTTAGCAAACACTTCAGTAAAAAGGGTGTCTTAATTCAGAATACTGTAAAACTAAACCCAAGCTGACCTGCCAGTTGGGGCAGGGAGGGCAAGACAGCGAACTGCACGGAACCCGATTCCACGAGGCACAGTGAGTCTCACAGAACTTGCAGAAAACGCCTGGTCACACTTTTGGTTTCGAAAGCAATGAACTCAGTCTCACCTAATACCTACAGCCATCTCACTGAGGAGGACCTGATTTTTCACTTTTTACTGTAAAACTGGATAAGAAATCGAGTCTAGGACGACCATAGAGATCAGGTTTTCACAAAAGCAATTTTTCCTTGTATGTGTGTTGGGCCTGTGCTGTGTAAAGACTGGTTTTCCTTCAGAATGTACTAGGTCTGCTAAGCACACGAGCCGTGGGTTTTCACTAGGGCTCCTTTGGATGTTGTTTTCATTCACAAGTTACATGTCTAAAATAGTCTTTCGTTTTCTACAGGGTCTGAAAGCCACATCTAGCAGACTCTTGGGTTCTCCAGTGAAAGAAAAAAGGGCAAAACTTTAAAAACTTAATTTTTATCTTTACCCCAAACACTTTAAAAATGGATTTGTAAAAGACTAACAGGACTGTCAAAATCAGCATTTGAAGCTCTGTGGAGTGAGATGGGTGCCTGTGTTGGAAAAAGCACAAGAAAGGGAGTGGCTGTGAGAGGGGGTTGTTAGCTGGGGCCTCTTGGAAGCCAGCCACAGCAGCAAGAAGGGCCACGACACACATGTGCACGTGATATCATGAAAGAAAACGCCAAAGAAGAAAAAAACTGCCTCAAATTTTACAAAACTTTTTGAAGCTCTCTAGATAAAGGGCATTAGAGGCTGAGGAGACAGCCCAGTGGAATAAGTGCTTGCCTGGCCACCAAAAAAAGGGCACTGAACTACACTACCAACAATATGTCCAGCAGGAAAATATACAATGATGGCTATCCGGATGCTATTCAGTGTCTGCATATCCTGCAACCTCCTTAAACTACCACAGAATGTGTTCAAATTGATCATTTTATACCTCCTGCTTTCAAAAGTTTTGGGGTCCAGGAACAGAATTCAACCATTTATGTGGGTCTGTCCTAGAATCCCACAATGTACTGCAGTACTCAGACTCTACAAACTGAAATGGTGAAAAAAGAGAGCGTAAGTTCAAGAGCAACACCCTTATTATCTTAAGATTAAAACTGGCAACACACCACAGTGAACTACAGATTAAAGGGTAAGACTAAGTTCGAATTTAGTTCATCTCTGTGCCTCAGTTTCCTCACCCATAAAAAGGGGATGTAACTGCATCACTTCATAGAACTGGGCGTGAGAATTAAGTAAGTTTATGTCAAGTGCTTGAAACAGTTCTTGCCACATGGCACGAATGAAGTGATGGCATATTATTTCCATTATTAATTTGTGGAAGCTTTAAAGTTTAAATTTACACAAAGGATAAATTTTACTACTAACTTATTGCTTTAGTTTTTTTTTCTTTTTTTTAATTTTGGAGACAGACACGTTGCCAGCTTGGGCCCAAACTCCTGGACTCAGGCAACGTCTTTCCTTGACTGCAGAAGGTCTGGAGCAGCGGGCATGTCCACACTGCTTGTGTTTTATATTTTTCAATCTGAAAAGGCACTGAAATCTGTCACTCAGAAAACTGAAATTTTTTGCAGGAAGGGTCGGAGTGGACTATGTATTAAAGAAGAAAAGCTTTTAAATATGAGGGGATCTCAGCCACTTAGACCATGTTCATTTGGAGAATTTTGTTTTATAATTTATAATATGAAAAGTATATTGTAAAAATGAAGGGCATATCGGAACAAGTTTAAAATGCCAAACCCAACTGTTGAGCTGGCATCACTGTCCCCTTCCTGATTCGTGTTCCCATAGTCAGGCTGACTCTGGAAGGGCTTGTGCCCAAGGGGCAGGCAAGGGGGTGAGAAGGACCAGGGCAGAGCGCCCAGGCAGCACAGCCACAGCCCCACGACCTCAGACCCAAGCGACTCATGCTACAGCCTGGCATCAGCTTTGATCTACCTAGAAGGGTGTGGGACAAAGGGAATTTTATAAGCACTTGCAATTTATTTCTTGCTTCATTACCTATTACCTTGACTTTCTTTTTAAGTACTTTCATTATCTTCTTAGCTCTTTGGGGGAGGGAGGATTCTCTTCACTGATGTTACTAACAAAACAAGTAAGGTCTTATTTGCCATAAGGAAGCAAGCTTTGGTTTACCTGTTTTCAGCTACGCTAAGGAATGGATTTGCAGTTGCTAAGTAGGTCTGCAGGTAAACATGCTCCTCAGAACCAGCGGGGCGTCTGGCTAGAGCCAGAGGCTAGGTGTGCGGAGGAACCCGCGGCTACTAAGACCTGACCCGAACGTGGAGGAGGAAGTCTACCATTAAAGATAGAATTCACGATCACGGCTATTAAAAGGGTAACAGAAGAGAACTTTAAACAGTACAAGGAGAGAAAAAATATGCTTGAGTTGAGGGAAAAAATTAAAATCTCAGAGCTGACAAAAGGGGCCTCACCATTTGCTCCAGAAAGACCTTCCTGAGACTCCACACAATTGGGGTGGGGAGGAGAGACTTCCCGGCGCTCCTGCCTGCGGCTCATCCTTTTTTTTTTTTTTCTTTAGGGTAGAAATTTTATTTTATTTTCAGACTTGAGAGATTTATTTTGACTCAGGTTCTCTGAGGGTTCAGTCTATAGTAGGTTGAATACAGGCAGAAATATGGCTGAAGTGTGTGGTGGAATGAAAATTAGAATTTTATGTTGGCCAGGAAGCAGAAGACAGGAAAAGCCCAGAGAGGGAAGGGTTAAGGATGAGATGTTGTCCCCAAGGTTAAGCCTTCATTGTTCCCCAAGACATCCCAATAGGTGTATGTATTAGTCAGGGTTTTACTAGAGGAACAGATATAATACAAGGAACAGGTATAACACAAGATGGGCCAGTCACAGACTCAGATGAGGAAGTGAGCCGAGAGGGTCTGACCACCACCGACTGAAGGATTCCGTCCCAAGGTCTTATATTCACTGCAGTGTTCTATCTCTCAACTAGAAGCTCTAAGTGAGTTGGCTAGCCTAAGATTTTACCCTGTTCCCCATCTGAGGCAGGGATTATTCGTGCAGTCACACATCAATTCAATAAAGTAACATATATTCAAAACTTAAGCAAATCACTGAAAATTGCTGTGACATTAAAAAAAAATTGCTGTGACAATTCTTGTAATGAATAAGCGTATGTGCAGTTTTTAAAAGCATAAGAGCCTGAGAGGATTATTTAATATCATGTGAAAATGACTAAACTCCTTTCAGCACATTCTCTTTCTGCAACACACCCACTTTCCATCACCTTATTAAAATAAAATGGAGCCCTCATTCTCAGAAACAGCCAGGCACACAGATCTCTAATAGGTAAGTGTGAAGTGACGCTGACTGGAGGGTGACAGCTGCACAAGGGATCTGTTTCAATAATCTAGGGAAGGAAGACTACCAAGAAAGAAAGAAAGAAGAAAAGAAAGGAAAGGAAGGAAGACAAGAAAAAAGAAAGGTTGCCTTGCCAGAGTGCCTGCTCTGCTGGAAAAGCCCTCCCTCAGGAAAAGCGTAACTGCTGAGGAAAACGCTGGGAGAGAACTCAGGTTAACTTACTTTAGCCTAAAAGGGCTTATGTGGCTTTAAAAAGAAAGCTCTTAATAGGCTTTCCTGTGCAGACCCTAGATTCCAAGCACGCTCCACATTCTGGATCTAAGGATCCTAGAAACAGTGGGGCTCACGGAGCAGGGCAGGACCCCGAGCTTCTCCACACGACAGTTTGTTAGTGCCCTCCCGGCACGAGTTAGGTACTTAGGCAAGGAAAGCACGAGTAAGTGTTTCACACGGCATCTTGCTGTATGCCTCGTTACTTCTGCCAGCTATATAAATGCTACTTCATATAAAACATGGTTTTCAGGGTTTTTGTTTGTTTGGTTAGTTTGGTGTTGGAAATTGATAGCACTTTTAAAAAGAGATAAATGGTACATGTTAAAATAACCAGGTGAACAGTTTTGTCATTCTTTTATTGTAAACTTCTCCACTGTTTGGTTTTTGTTGTTCATGTAATAAAACATACACATTTTACATTTTACTCTTCTCTACTATGGTGTTATTTCTATAGGTTCTGTTATGGTATTTTTGTAGGGTAAAGAGAAAAATCTGCTCATTTTCATTGAAAGCAATGTTGACCTAGGATCAGCCACATTTTCATTCTTCTGTATTTTTTAAACTAAATTTATTGTGAGAGCTAAGCGGTCTCGTATGTCTGAGACATTAGGAGCGATGCCACTAAACCAAAGCACGATGTTATTAGACCCTCACTGGGTCAACAGGCCACAGCACCAGGAACACTGGCTCTCAATGGAAAACTAGCAGGCTGGGGAGATAGCTCAATAGAACGAGCACCTGCCTGGCAAGCGCAGGGTCCTGAGTTCAATCCCCGGTACCGCAAGAACAAAAAAATGGAAAACTACCAAAACAGGAGACACTATACTTAGGTGAACACTATTGGGACTTTTCAAGGCCAGGCAGTAGCACGTTCCATGACAAGAGCTACTTCTGCCTTCCCTCTGCGGAAAATCTCCTGCAGCACGTGCAGGGTTACACCACATATTCCTACTCTGCTTCAATTCAGATGGTCGGACAGGGTCCGAAATTCCTCTCATCTTCCTGTTCCTCTCACTCACCGGCACCCGGATGCTCCCTGCATTTCTGCTTCTCTCTGCTCATTCGAAAAGGCACACTGAACACTGGAAAAGCTCAAGACTGCTTAAGTTAGCAATGCAAAGGTTATATAAAAATGTTTAAATGTTAGTCTTACCTCTGGTGGTTTGAGCGGCCCTTGTTCTGAAACAAATGTAAAAATTGGCATTGTCAGTGCAGTTACTCAGTCTGGTTAGCAACCTCAGCTTGCTCTTTTCGGCGTGGCAAAAACACTACTGCTTTGTTTTCTTAGCTGATACCCGTAATATATTTCCAGGGTCCCTCGGCGAGGCTAGTAATTGTTTTGCAACCTTGGCTCTCTTACGGTATTGGCTTGTCAGGAAAATGACTCATACTTCTAAATGACTTCTAAGTTATGCTTAACTTATCCAATTGTTTATTAAGCAATGTCAACTTAACCACATAAAATTCCTTAAAACAAGGGCTTGCACTAAGTTTAAATGCATGATAGCTACATGCAAACTCTCTTTCAACACATATTGTTTTGAGAATTTAAATGCACTAAGTCACACAGGCATTACATGGACTACAACTGCAAATGCAACCACACGCCATTTCGTGGGCTCTTTTTCTATTAAGCAGCAATGATTCTTATTGTTAATTCTGAGAAAATACAGCTTAAAAGATTAACTTAAAATAAATGAGCCAGCATTTGATTCCAAAACTGATTTTCTTTCCATCCTTATTTTAGCTCTCAATGAACAGAAGCAACATTCCTTCACCACATTTTAGTTCTGAGTTTGCTTAACAGTTACAAAGGGCCCAGGACCTTCAGGCAGGCAGGCTGGTCAAAAGGCAAAGGATCCTTCAGCGACTAGGAGCAGACTAGAGATGGGAACTGGTGGGCAGGGATCTGCTTTCCCTCCTCCTGGCAGGAGCCCCTGGACGTGATGTTACAGCTTCTCTAGACCTAGCGAAGACCCTCCGCTTCAGGGAGCCCACACCTGCAGTTTTCCCACCCAAAATGAACCTCTAAAGAAGGATCTTAGAAGAGAGATACACCTGAGACACGGGGTTAGTAACGCAGGCCTGAACAGGACCTCGGTGTAAGACGCTTCTCTAGAAGGCTGTACGAAGCCCTACGGCTGGCGGGAGTTCACTAGGAAAGCCACCAAGACACCTGACCGGCTGCCACATACTGCTTGACAGAGAAGCTGCCCGGGCTGGAGGTTATGGGTCCCCTACCCCACAGCACTACTCCAATTAATGGAAATGAAAGGTCCATGAGTAGACAAGTCACTTTTCTGGAGAAAAGCTAAATCCTCATCCCTTTAATTTCAAAGCCCCTTGGCCCTGGTTTTCACAGAAAGCTGCCTTCTGTGAAGTCGCCCTTGCTAGGCCTGCCACTAGCCGTTCCAGCGCAGTATTCCTGGACTGACAGTTATTTCACTTCTTTTCCTCCTCACTAAAACTGCACTATCTCAGAAGAAAGCTTGCTATAGTTACATTTTCTTCATGAGTAGAGGGATTTGTTGTAATAGTGTTTGCAAATAGGATATCATGTCTGCATCTTGTATAGCAAATAACCACTAGGAAGATAGTATGCAATGTGTTAATTATTGAAAATGTCCTACCAATTTGGTTTGAAACTGTCTCCTTGCTATCTGACTGTCAATAAAATTATGGAAAAAAAAAAAAAAAAGAAAGCCTGCCTAAGACAGCGGGCTGGGAAGCGGGCATAACAGGGCCCTCTTGCTGGCCGCTCGGAAGCCAGGGCGGGTGCAGGAACCTGAGTCTCAACAGCCAGCTAGGACACCGGTTTTACTGGTTTTCCCTGGAAGATTTACAGATTCCAGGACAGCCCTCGCCTTACTTATTTTCCTGCTGGTGTGTCCCAGCCTGAGTCTGGAATCATAAACTGCAGGAAGCACCCACAGGAGGCCCGTTCCAGCTTTCCGTCCCAGAGCACTAAGGGAACTTTTGATATTTCAAGGTAACCTCTAAAATGATGACTTTTAAACATGTGGAAGATCTACAGAAAAGCCCTAAAAATGGGGGCTCCTCAGATCTTTTGGGGTCAGCGTCCATGCATGAATATGCACTTTAACTTCCATTCAAAAATATCTTATTTTTCCCTGATTCTTTACATAGCAGGGTTTCCATGTCCTTGTGAAGTATGGCTGTTATGAAATGCTTTGAATGTGTTACTTGTGGCACAAGAGCTATGGTGGCCCAAGTGCTGGCAGTCTGTCACGTGCAGCGCCTCAGGGTGCAACTGATGCTATCTGAGGGGTGGTTCTGGCTACAGGCAGCACCTGCACCTCCTTGCAGAGCGCGACACCCCGGGCCACACGCTACCTACCATTGTGAGGATCCCTCCCAGGACCCCGGGACCACCAGGCTCAGTGAGGCAGCACGGGCAGCACATGGATGACCGAAAGCTGCTCCATGCAGAGTACCCAAGGGGGGCAGCATAAGGGGCTCAGTGCTGCACATGGCTCCCTCTCCAGGGGCACGGTCCCTGCGTGAGGCCCGTATCTTCCCTTTTCCGGCCACCACATCTGCACCCACGCCCACCGCTGCTGTGGACTGGGCACCAGCAGGCCAGCACAGCGCTGCACGCTCGCTGCGTACACCAGAAGTGCACACGGCTCTTCGCGGCCTGAGTGGTTGATGCAGCCACTTATTTTGGTACGGACTGCATTAGAATCTGCTCTGAGTCCACAAATTTTCAGCCAGGTTCTTTTTTTTAATATAAATGTTTGAACTTGCAGCAGTGGCGGGAGCATTAAATTGAATTATCTCCTTTACAAACATAATTCGAATTCCAATGACCAATTAAAGCAATGTAACAGTACAATGACAGTAATGAAGAACAGAGACACTAAACTGTGACAAAATTTCATGCATATTTCAGAGTAAAAGCCTATTCTACTGTAAAAAGGTAGAATACCTTTTTAGGAGGTATTCTATGGACAAGGTGACCTGCTTTTGAAATCTGCAAGCACACCCTTTATTTTCTCTGGTAGCCACACCAAGCTGGGACAGCAGGCCCTTGGACCTCCAGAAAACTCTACAAGTGCCGCCGGCCGGCAACAGACTTCGGATGATAAGTGCTGAGTCTCACCATTCCTTCCTCGGTTAAATTTTGACCCAGAAGAAAAGGGGGTGGTTTAGATTTGATGAAAATGTCTTAGTTTTTCTCTCTGTGTGCGTCTGTCTCTGTTTCTCTCGGGAACCTTCTTAGGATGATTCCATTCTTCAAAGTTCTCAAAGTTTTCAGTCCTCACCTGTCTTCACCCTGCATCCCACCTCTCAGGCTCCTATTGATCAAACTGGGACATGTCTTCCCTTTCGAGAACCTTTCTAGATGGTGATTCACAGCCCCTTGAGGGAACTACACCTCGCATTCTTTCATCGTGTCCCAACTAGTTTAATGTAGCTCCCAGAAGCGGTGCGACCCAGGAGCTCTGCAGCATTCGCAGGGCTCTACCGCCTGCATACAGAGTTCACTGTGTGTGTATTTGTGGAAGAGAAATGTTCAGACTCACAGTGTATAATTCCCTTCTTTAAATACAAAATTCAGTCCTATTATGTTTGTTTTCTCAATACAAGTGCCTCTTAGCTCATACATTACTACACAAATTGCTTTGTATCTTATCCAAAGTTCTATTTCTGAAGACTAAACAAATCGATGTCCAGGATTACTGATTGTCACAAGAGGGGCCACAGAAAAGTAATTACCAGTACAGCTATCGAGGGTGCCTGGCCATCATGGCTAATGTGCAATTTCTGGGAAACATAAAACTGAAGAACAGCTGGATTGATCAAATTTTGGAGGAAGACGTGTAAATACTGCATTCACGACTCCGATCTATAGCAATTACTGTAAAGAAAAAAGTGAATCATAAACCATACAAATTACTTGAAAAGAAGATTTGATTTCAAGTCTTGCTTGGAGCTGGAAAGGAATCTAGCCATACAACAATTTATAACTCACTTTAATAATTAATGGTGCACCATTAACCTGACTCAAGCAGTTAAACGGAAGGAACAGTGACTACTGTTTTGTAATATGAAATTGTTTTGATGAGTTAAAAACTAGTAATTTATATGAAAGTTTTTTCTAAGTACCACTAAAGAGTGGTACTTGGCTCACAGTTTTAATAAATAGAGCCAAAGTCTTTTTTAATGAAATCAGTGATCAAGCGTGAGTTCATTTAAAGGTAATGTGATAAAATCCTTTGTGGTAGAAGGCTACAATGAAGTTATGCTCCACGAGTTTATCTGACAGGGTAAACCATGCAATGTCACTTGTTTCCTAAAAGCCCACCTCGAGTGCCAATGCGGCATGCAAGCTCTAGGTAGCAATCTTGCAGGATTACTGCAGCAGGACGCCAAGGCAACTTCCCTCTGGTTCCAGGAGGCTGCAGCAGCCGCAGCCGCAGCCAGACTGGGCGGAAGAACAATGACACAGATAAGCAGGTGGGGCCTGCTGCAGTTACACACAAGGGAAGCTGAGGCCTGCGTCCCCACAACAGGAGAGCGTGCACTAAGGCGAAGTTGTCTGCTCCAGCAACGCTGGCCTTTGAGTGCTGCTTTCATTAAACTGTGAAGATTCAAAGCCAGCTATATTGATCATTGTCAGGGTAGGAAGGGGCAAGAGGAGGGGCATTAGCCGCGTATTATCTTGAAGGGAAATTGTAAATGTCCCCAGAGGTTGGAGTCCAGGATTAGCCCTTCAGAGTGGAGCACTGTGAGAAGAAAGTGTCACCCTAGAGTCTATGAGCTTTGTTGTAACTTGTCGAGGGAGACACATGGAGCGGAGAACGTAAGTTCTCCTCGTTAATGCTGGAGTCTCGGCAGACACTTCTGAGTCATGCGTGTGTTGACAAGCAGGGCTGCTACTAAGGCGGCCAAGCAAGTTCAATCGCAGACACCGTGGGCCTGCCTGCTGTCACTTATGTCCGTGCCAATCCTCAGGTGTAGGGACAAGCTGATCAATCAGCTTTCCGAGTTTCCAAGTTGTATAGTTTATCTTGTTAGAAAAATAGCATAGTTTTCAGAGTTCAAATAGATTTAAATTAGTATTTTGTCATGGTTGCATACTAATGTGAATGGACTGCTTCACTCAAAAATGTACGGCATGTTTACCAAATGATCATAATTCCCAGGATGAGTGGGGACTGGATAAGATTTAAAGGGTACAGTACGTGAAATAGAGAAGATGAGGACAGTATCTTGAGACAGCTAACTTCCATGAGAAAAGAAATCCCTTACGGTCAATATTCAGCCACAGCCCGTACTGTCTCTAAGCACTACACTGGGCTTGAAACAGGGGACACAGAGATGGGAGTCACCCCCCACCATGCTTGCCTTCTCTTCGCGTCTGCTGAAGGAGCACACAGCGCTCACCACGGAATCTGTGCATACCGCGATAGTGCCCCGTTTCCCTTATAATTCAGCTGAGGATGTGTAACCAGTTTCAGCCACTGGCAGCGACCACAATAGCTCTGCTAATGTCCAGTCCGTGGCTCTAAAGAGCTGCACTCTTGAACACCATGTGGCATGCTAGCAGTCCTAGATGGACCTGCCCTACACCCTGGCCATTTCCTAGGGGACCACTCACCCCAGGAAAGGCTGCATGTGAAAATGGCTTTCATGTGTGCAAACTACTGGAGCTGGGAGTTTGCTGGTTACCACAACACATCTTGAGTGCCCTTGAACACTCAATTAAGCGCACATATGCGCTCATCAGAGTGGCTTGACTCAGACTTATCTCTGGGAGATCCAGGTGGAGTTAAGGATTGGCAAAGAACCTGGGTAGAGAGCAAACGAAAGGGAGACCCTGGAACTCTAAGGAGGCAGGGTTGCATTTCAGAGGCAGGCCATTTCTGAGCCAAGCCAAGCAAGAACTGTAAAACAGCACTGACTGATCAGGAGGCAGGCTGCTCCAGAAAGAGGTCTTTCTGTCATCAAGTATTAGGTGAGCTGCTTCACTTTCTTGTTACTCCTTAGCCTGCCTAGCATGTGCCCCATGAAGCCTGTGATCGGTGCTCAGGGCAGGAGGCTTCCTTGCATAAATACTAGCAATGGATATAAAGTGTCGACCCACTTTTCTACCTTTAATTTCTAAGGTATTAACAAAAGACTAAAAATGAGGTTTTTATTGCACTTGTTCACCATCTGGCCAAGCCCTCATGTCCCCAGGAATAGAACCACAGCCTGTACCATCACTCCAATCTGCTGCTCCTAAACGTAAGACTACAGTGATTCTCAAGGCCCAGAGGCCCCAGCACACTACATTTTACTCGCTCTGTGATGGAGCTGGTGGTCCACTTGCTTATTTCTTTCCTGAGGTCAAAACAGTAGTCACCTATGGTTCTCATAATTGAGCCAAACTAAGGAGGGGATAGTTACAATAAATGAGATTGACACTATGATAAAAGTAATAATAAGGATCCAGTCACACAAAGGACTGGCAGATGATGAACGAGAGACTGAGAGTGTCAGAGACTGTCAGCCTAGAGGCTGAGAGTGTCAGAAATGCTCTCAAAGGAGGGGCAGCACTTGCACTGAGTGTTCGAAAATCAATGTAAGTTGACCAAACAAACAAAGACACTAAAAGAGACAATGTACAATTAGCCGTCTAAGTGTGAGAAGGGCTGGGGAAGTAAGAGTACACAGGGTCGTACTGTGGGCTGGGTGTGGGAAGAGGGGCTCAAACGGGCCGAAAGAATGACCTGGAATACTGCGCATCACCTGCAAAGTCTGGATATATCCTGTGAGAAACAGACCACACAGCAAAAGAGTGACACAATCATACATGATTTTAAAAGATTTTTAAAGATCATTTTAGAAATTACGCAGGAGTAAGATTAGGAGTAGCGAGTTTGAAAACTTGAAATGGTCCTAATAAAAGGCAATGAGATTTATTACCTAGAGCAATTCCACATGAGTAGACTTGGTGTTGAACTATGAATGGAAGGTTTGGCTGACTGCATGAATGGAAGAATTTTAATTAAGACAAACAATAGGAAAGAGATAGGCTTAGTGAGGCTTGCTTTTAGACATATGGTGTAAGAGGTCACGCAAGACACCTAGGAGAGAAAAGGGAAGAAGTCGGGAATTCTATATTCAGAGCCCAGAAAAGATGGCACACGGAGAGAGGGAGCCTTGTCTCCCTGAGGTATAGGTTGTAGCCAAAGCCAGAGAAAGCAATCGGATGTCCAAGACAGTGTGAGGGACATGGTGGGTGCCAAGTAAGAGAAAAGGCCCGGGACGCTAACCCCAATGTGGGGTGACCAGAGCATGTGACATTTAGAAGGCAGCATGGGAAGCTCTCTGCCTTCATTCAGCCCCTGGGTGGTTCTGTCCTTTGTACCATCAGTGGCTGTTCTCTGCTTCTTCTACAGCCAATGTCCAGGAAAGGTGGCACACGGCCCCTTGGGGGACTGCTTCCCCCCAGCTCTCCAACATTATCACAACACGACCATTCCTACTCCGCAGGGCTCTCTGGCCCAGCAGGGGCTTCCTGACTCACACCAGATGGGTCAAGATCCTTCCATCTCTAGAGAACTTAGTTTGACAGAAGTGGTAAGCACTGGAGCTATGAAGTGGGGATGAATTTCAAACCACCTCTGACTTATGTGGGAGCTGGGTGATGTAAACACACGATTCTGCCTGGAATCAGTACCGTTCACCTGCTTTGAATCTGCCCAATGGAATGAATTTCTCGACACTGAGTTCTCCCGTGATGATACCATGCCTGCCCCTGTACAGAAGCCCGGCTCAGGCGAGCCACGTCTCCAGCTGCTAACGCGTCTCCTTGGCCTCCTCTCTCACATTTCTTGATACTGTGACCACCATGGAGACTACCCTGCAGAATGGTGCGAGCAGGGACTCCTGGGCGCCAAAGCAAAGATCTACAGCAATCCTACAGTAATCTTAAGCAAAGCAGGGATTCCCGCAGACTACCCAAGAGCCCGTCCAATCTGCTTGTCCGTGGCATGGATGCCATTTCACTCACATCAGACCCACCGGCCTCAAACTCCCCAAGGGACCACCTACTGGAGCGCAGGGAGGGCAAGTGTGAGGACAGAAGCCGACTTCCAACTTTCAGAGGAGGTGGAGGCACAAGTGATAGACAGGTAGACAAAGGGTGGCAGCAGTAATGTGCGACTTCCTGGTTTGTGACCTCGTAAACCACTTCTGACCTCAAGACACAGGTAAGCGACAAGCCTGTGTCTTTCACTTCACAGCCTGGAGGAAGGCGCAGAGGAGCTCTGGACCGAAAGGACCATGCCGGGGAAGCAGGGGACTCACAGGGGAAGGTGCTGCGGTGCCAGGAGGGGAAGGCAGCTGCCAGGGGGCAGCGGGCGCTCGCAGCTTCCCGGGCCTGGCACAGGGAACGGCACACGGCGCCCTCCGAAAGGCCCACCGCAGGCAAAGGCAAGGCACGCGCTGAGCTCATTCCTCTGACAGGATTCACTTTTTCTGCAGTTGCCTATTTTCTGAACCCAGCTCTGAACTGAACTATTCTCTGTTTCCCTTCCTCACATTATCCAAAATAATTCAATGTCCATCTTTTCCTTTGGGAAAATCAAAGGTTGACATGGCTACCTTTGAACTCAAGCTGCTAAAGATCCTTTCTTGTGTTCAAAAAGTTTTACTGATTTTGAAAGGTCTTATTGATAAAACACAGAGAAACTCAGGGGAAAAGGACAAAGAGAAAGGAGAAGAAAGAGAAAGAATAAAGAGACCAGAAAAGAAAGAGAAGGGAGAGAGCCCAAGAGGGGCACAGAAAGGCAAAAGGCTACTGAATACATAATTGCCAGTTGGCTCCCGGAACAACCACGGAGTACTATTTTTAAAAACCGTGGGGAAAATATTTACATAAAAACCAAAGGATATATGTTCTTTGTTGAATGCTAGAAAATGACAATATACTCATTTCATCAATTCATAAGTTAGTCTGTGTGATGTTGACTTGTGGCATCATTAGCAATTCTGAGCTAAATATTTAAGACAAGAAACAAGCAAATTAAGAACTAAAGGTAGAAGAAAATCTGTTCTGTTTTCGTTCCTGTTTATTTGCATTAGCAATGTTTGCACAGTTATAGCAGTGTTTAGGGTTAGAGTTACTGAAACGGACGGCATGGAACACCCCAGTCTCTCATGAGGATCTTCATTTCTAAGGTACACCCAAAGATCCAACCGATTTTAGGCAATTTAAAACAAAATCATGCAGAAGTCACATGATTTTTGAACAACTTTCTAATTGTGCTTTAAAATGAGTTTCAAAAACAGCTACATTACAATACAGCACACATTAAGAGTGAAGGAAGCCTCGCTCATGTTCAGCAAGCTGTATGCCCTCATTCAAAACAGAATCCCAACAACAAACGCAACTTACCGCCAGAATTAACTCGGCCGCACGTGTCTACCCGGCCCAAGCATTCCTTATGCGCTCTTGCCCCGCACTTGAAGCACAAATAGCCTTGGTAGAACGTTCCTCTGAAAGGGAAAGCGCAGCGTGTCAGAAGGCGCTAAGTCCTTCCTTTACAAACTCAGTAGCTCAGAAGAGCAAACACGCCCCACAGAGCGATTAAGGCGCCCTCCCTCCCTCCCTCAGTGGAAGGCGGGCTGGGCTCCTCCCGGGGCTGAGCAAGGGACTGTACCGGCCCGGCCTAGCACAGATCCGCTGAGTTCAAACCCGAAGGCAAGACCCCAGGGCCTGGAATCTGGCTAGACCACTGGAAGCAGCGTCTGGCTGGGTGAGGACGCGTGCACAGAACTGGAAGCCGGCTCAGCGTGCTCACCTCAGCAACATCTGGCAGACCTTGCAGGACGTGACCCGGGTGAACGTGTGCATCTTGAAGTCGTGGAAGTTGGAGTCCGCATGGTCTGGCCGAATGTTAGACCTGTAAAAATGGAGAAATTCACTTCTTATAGATTCAAAACAAAACAGCACTTTCTGCACCTAATGTCAATCCATTAAAATTATACTGGGTAGCCATCGGATTCGGGAAAGAACAAAAGCTCCCGTGTACAGTGGCTTCCAGCAAAAGCCTATCACCCACAAAGGCGGTGTGGAAACCCGCTAAACCGAGTGATAAGTGCCTAATCCTGAGCACTGAGCGATGCCAGGGAACACCACAGCAAGACCAGCACGATCTACCGCTGGGAAAGACATGAAGAGCGCAGGCATGCACCCCTGAGGTAGCTCCTTCTCTCTGTGAAGCTGGGCGGGGCCAGCCACGCGCAGTCACTTCCAGAGTTTCTCTCTAAATAGGTGTGTGGGTTAAGGGCTACAAAAAGGAATAATTTTACAGAAAGTTTTCAAACAACGTATCAAATATCAAAAATTCTTAATTTACTATCTTTGCAATCCAAACAAAAAGTAAACAAAATTATTTCATCCTGTACTTTTTTTATTTATAGTGTATATATGTATAACCAAAATTATTATGCACACCCAGACTAACACCAATTACGCACATCCTCTATGCTGGCTAGCAAGCCAGCTAGTGAGGTGTATTACTTTATTTTTTACAATAATCCTAACTGGCTGGCACTAATAATAGCATTAACCCACAAACAAGGAAGCTGGCCTTACTCTGAAGTTTGCTCTAAAGTTAGGAAAGAGTGAATAAAGAACTCCAACCCAGGCTTGCACTTTTAGACATTCAGCTTTTTCTAGAAGGTTTGCTTTTGTACTTTTCAATTTACCATTGCACAGAAAAATTACAATAGGATAAAGATGGATACAAATCAGAAATACACCTAGAAAGCTAAAAGCACACACTCTAGGAAGTTATGCGCTATTTGAGAGACTGCAGGAAAAGTCTGAGATACTCATGAGCTAGGATTCCCCTTTTATAGAATACAGTAACTCTCGATCACGCTGAGCCCCAGCGTAATGAAGCGTAGCATGGGTGGGCAGCCAGGCATCAATCTCCGCAGCGCCAGGAGAAGCCTTATGAAAAAACATTGGCAAAGGCAATTGGAGTAGCAGGCAATGATGCAGAAGTGTCAGAGAGGTCAGCCTCCCAATCCGTCTGCGAGCAGGGGCGTGCTGGAGACGAAATCAAGGGCTAGAGCCATCCGGGACTGCACTGCTCTGTGCTCCTGGTGACCTCGCTTCTTAGGAAAATGTTCTGCATGCTGAAAAGTAAGGCCACTTACATAGGTGCATTTTGGGGCTGCTGATTAAAACTTGCAGAGAACCCCAGAAAGGGAGGAGAAGACAAAACTATACGGATATAGAAACAAAGCCATCATCACGTTGTTCAGATAATGTTTGAGTCCTGAATCTATAAAGCCGCGCATTCATAAGCGCCTCAGGACCCATTTCCTTAGCCAGGAAGGGCTGCTGTTCACTCTTCTCAACATCAAGGTGACAGAGTCGGAGACGAATTGTCAGGTGACAGTTTTAGTCCTAGAAACTTGAAGAATTTATCAGCATGGAGTTTACAAATACAAATAAGTCTCCAGACAGAGATCTGTACAAGTAGGTCCCAAGCAGGCCAGAATTTCATTCCTCTCATCAGTCTGCTCTGGACATTGAGACCCTCTTCTTTCAGAGCCAAGTGGCCCGTGCACAAGTACGCGTGCAAGTGTGCAGCTGTGCATCCCTACACGCGCGTGTCTATCAGAGTCCTGCCTGAAGTATTCATATTTAAAGTGCGTACCAACTAAGCACACTGACTTCTCCGAAGACACAAACGGAAAGGAGAATTGCAAACACATTGTGAAGCTTGAAAACACTAAATGATTAAAAAAAAACCCTGAAGATATTCTTAACAGTAGCCGCCTTAAGGGAAATGAGATTTGAAACGGCAGGGAGGTGCTATCATAAATTGTTTAAAACTATAACTGCATATTATTTAAAAACTCTTGAATCAAATGCTAAGGAATAAAAGTTAACTGTCCGACCCCTGAAGCTGCTACGGAGGCACGACTGAATACAAAAGTATAGCGGAGGGCAAGAGTTTGAAATTCAGCCACCTGGGCTTCAGTCCTAACTTGCAAATAAGGAGCAGATGACCTTAGGCAAGTTGGTAGGTATAAAATAGAAATACCAAAAAAAACCAAACTCAAAAATTGAGGTAATGCATGCAAAGTACTTGAATACTGCTTGACCCTGAGCTGGCATCCAACAGATGTTGGCATCACTTGAGAAATGCTGAAGGCAAATCCAAAGGACACTGGTGTGACGGGCACAATACTTAGGAGGGCTTCAGTCCCAAGATCGGCTGCGGCCAGCCTGTGGAGGCCTCTACTCTCCTGGCATCTGCTAGCCGGAGACTGCTGCGCATCTAGTACCGTGGGACCCGGAACCCACATATAATTATTTATGCTCAACAGGAATGGAGTTGTTTAGGAAAGGGTGGGCATGGAAAGGCCCCAGGAAACAAAGTCATACCAAATGCCAAATGAAGGGAAAAGAAATGCCACCTCGCAGGGAGCCTCTGTGGATATAGACGCCAGAGGCAGTGAACTGCTGATGGGAGAAACTAGAAAGGCAGACTGACTGGAAAAGGACAGAATGATCGAGAGGTCCAGGCTGGAGCCCCCAGGCTGAGAACAGCCAGCAGGGTGTGCATCACATCCCCGATGCAGGAGGTGGTGGCTGGGCTCACCCCACGCCTTTTCACATTCACCTCCCGCAGCAACGCCTGGAGACAGAGAACTTCCTTGTCTCGTAAGTATTTACTAAGCAGCTACCATACCGACAAGTCCAAAGGCTCCTGGGGTGCAGGCAAGAGGAGGGGGTACCAAGGGCCAAGGAAAGAGGGGAGACCATATGTATGCCAGGAGTGACAATTCACCTACTGTCGGCAATCTCGGTAATCACTGCATCAAGAATTGCTTGCAGTGAGGCAGAAGTGGACGCAGCAAGACCGCCGTGGGGCTGCGCCGTCTGCAGAGGAAAACCGGAGCAGCGCGAGGCCGGGTCACTGGCCACTTACGCAGCAGCTCCTGCCAAGCCCCACTGCCTTAGCATCCAGAACTTGGAGGGAATCCCATCGATTTCTCAGTAAAATGTTTCCGTTTCTTTTGTTTCACAAACAATCCCATTTTTTATAAAAAATAATCAGGTAATCAAATATTTACAGGGCAAGTTACGCTGATACACTTACGGCTCCTTCTAACTACACCTTCTCCGAGGCAGTCTCATCTCTCATCTGGCTTCCCCGGGGCCTCCGAGGTAGGACCATTTGTCTGCTATTAGTGGAGATGTGTTTGCTAGTCTGCATATCTACGCTTCCAACCGCAACTCAAGCGTCTCAAACGCGGCACACGCAAAGCTCACGTGACTGTCCTGACACTGCCGACCTATTCCCTCCCTCTTCCAACCTGGAAACTTCTGTCACCATGGCTCTTCCTCCCCTCACACTCTGCACATTCATGTTTTCTTCCTTCTTCTCTGTTTCACTATCTCCTTCTCTGAAACTGATCAGTTTCTACCAAGCCAATCCTAAAATATTTCCTTAAAAGCCTGCCTACCTACACACACACACACACACACAGAGATTCTGCTCTCTGGAGCACTCTGACTACCGCCAACATCTGAGGGCAACACCACTGTTCGGTGTGGTGGGACCAGTCCAGGAGACCAGGTCCAAGGGGTGGGCATGAGGCTTAAGTGCACATATCTCAGCCTGCTAATACTTGGCATCTGACACCGTGTACATGTGCTTTCTAGGCTGTCACTTCATGTGGCCTAAAACAAATCGCTACGCAGCACACTAGCACCCCTGTGTACGCCCGCAGCCCTGTATCTGTCCTCTGAGGCGGGGACCCCGTGCGCTCCTTTGTAATCTGGATTCTGCAGTCACCGAACACTCCGTAGAGTATATCAACCGCAGATGACTCTGGCTGGTGGAAATCAAGCCAGTGTGCTCATAACATAGCGGAGCATTTCCTTATTTATTTGCAAAAGGCTGCTCTGCCAAAAAATCACACTTAAAGATAGGAGAATTTAAGAAAGAGAAATACATTGTTAATAAGCCAAAAAAAATTATCACTCACATGGAAGAAAATGAAAAAACCATAAGGATGCCTAAATTTCAACTAAATACTATAAACTTTATGCTTATTTACTTATATCCTCTCTTCTGTATAAGAAAATACTTCCTCAGAAAAGGACTATAATACTACTCATAGATATAAATACATTTCACTAGTATGACCAGTAAGTTAGCAATAGACATTAGTTAAGGTTTCTTTTTATTTATTTTTTATTGATACAGGGTCTCACTTCAGTTCTGACTCATGTGATCCTCCTGTCTCAGCCTCCCCAGCACTGGCATTACAGGTGTGTGCCACCATGCCTGGTTTCAGGGCCAGCACCGCATGCCTGGGCCCAGGGCCAGCAAGGCACGCAGTACCGGGTATTGAACTCAGGTCCTCGCACTTGCAAAGCAGACACTTAGACCACTGAGCTATCTCCCCAGCCCTAGACATTATTTTCAAAGTTTTATTTAAAGTGAACATTTTCTCTGTTTTAGCCATAAATTGTAAATCCTGGCAGTACTTTGGTATGTTAATAGAGCTTTAAAAATCAAGAGGCAAAGACTAGCAAATGCTATGGCTCAAAATAATTATAACTAGTTACAGAAGAAACAAGGTGCCAATCCATTTATGACATCACCTTATCCATATTCTGTCAGTATTAGCAGCATTTAAAGATAACCACTGTAGGTATTTTGACAATTATGCAAACTATATGCAAGTTACTGTACCACACTGCAGGGAAAGTAGAGGCTGGAAGCAGATGTCAGTGCCAGAAACTCCTGTCTGGGGTGACAAGTTGTTTTGTGTAACAAAAACGGACATGCAAAAACTTATAGATACACAAGGTTGGGAGTGTGTACTGCTAAAATTCAGAAAATATACATTCTGCTCTTTAAGGAAA